CTCACATTGTGCTTTAGTTAATCTATTTTCTCACTGGTTAGTTCCTTCAAAAGCTTCAATTTCATTCAATTTGCCTTTAGTCCAGATCAAGCATGCAACCATCCCAAGCTAGGGCTCGCTGATCGGCAGCGAACATGTTCAGTAGCGACCCGTTCGGTTGCGAACGGTTTGGTGCATGCCTAATTTGGACCAAATCACACAAATTTGCCTAAATGTCACAAAACTGTGGTTAGAAATATGGGAGCATATGGGGGCAAAATCCCTAAAAGAAAAAAAACCTCCCACGATCGCTTGAGCCTATGAAGAGTCTTAAATATAGCCAGTTGATAGAGCTTTTCAAGAACTACAAAATGGCCATTTTCTCTTTTTTCATATCGCAAAATATAAGTAGCTGACATTGAAAAACCTATTTTTTCGGTTTGAAAGTAATCTTTCCCGTATTTCCTTCATATTTTTTTTATTCTTATAGTATATAAGAAAATGTTCAATATGTTTTGTGTAGAGAACTGAATGAGGCTTCTTTTGAAAAGGATTGAGACTTGGCGATCAACCTTGACTCAGATATTGAGAAAATACTGAATGAGACGGGACTTCTGGGCCACCCTTTATATAATTTTTTTAATACTTATTTTTTATTAGAGTGTACAGAAGTTTGCAAAGTCCATTGGACTATTTACTCAATCTAATGGACTCGAACTGGACTGGACTAGACCTTTTAGTTCATGGACTGGACTGGACTCAAAAATATGAGTCCATACGGAGCTCTGGCACATAGAAATGTATCCGATTTCTTCCATTCAGCAAAACCAGAGACAGAAAAAGAAAAGAGAATGATATTGATCTATATCCACGCGTGGACTTGTTTCTGACGGCTTCCCCAAAAATGAAATATGGCTCCAGAAGTTGCAAACCGATAGCCTTCAGGATTACGTATCCCTTAGGAGTAGACACCTCCATTCTGAAAATGTAGCTTGGTGGTACCACTAGTCGTAGTTGACGCCACATACTCCTTGATTCTGCTTGATAGTGGCTGGTATCAATAGCTCCCTGTTGCCACCATCAGTGGTAGCAATAGAGCTACCCTTTTATTTTATGGATCAAAGGTCAATCTCAACAGCAGAGCTAGAACTGATGCTAGAAATGATATTTTATTCGATGAGACTCAACGTTTACGTGATGCTTTATCGCTAACTAATCATACAATAGCCAATGATGCTGATCGCATAAAACAATTAAGAAATAAATAAATTAATTGTACTGTTTTCTCTTTCCGTTAGTCGTAATGATTTTTCTGTCCATACTGACACTTGTATCTACAGAGACTTTTATCTCATCGAGATTGTCTATTGGTACAAGCGCATCCTCGCGTGATCTACATGCTTTTTTCTTCTTCCTCTCTTTGTTTTAGTAAAAAGCCAATACACGAATGTACATATTGACACTGAACTGAAACTTTTTCTTTAAATCTAAAGTGTAAGTTATGTAATTGAGACTAATACGGTTTACGCTATATTTACATTTCCTAATGTTTGTGCATGGATGAATAAGAAGTGCTGCGCATTTTATTTTATTTAAATAATTTCAAATTCGATCTGATTAGTAAAGTTTAGTTTTATTATTGAAAGATATATATTGAGAAGCAGAACATAAACTACATTTTATTTTTTTTTATATAATATTTTGTAAAGATTCATTTTCGTTTTCACAGTACCTTAGCTTACATTTATTTATTTATTTATTTTAAAAAGATATCAGAATAATAAATAGTTTAAATATTCTTTGAATATTTTTGTGTAACTTGTAAAGTACCTATTGTAATTAAATATTGTCCGATACCGTATGTAAACATAATTGATAAACTTGGTACAGGTATGTGTGAAACAAATTTATTAAAAGCTAATATAGAATCAGATAAAATAAAAAACAAAGCTCCAAGAAAAACAGACCAAAATCCCGGTATTTTTCGTCCACGTAAATAGGATATATAACCCATACCAACGATGATAAAACCATAAATAAGTATTGGAAAAAGTAAATCTTTTGTTTCTTCGGAATTGTTATTCAATTTTGGATAAAGAATACTTAAAAAATAAATAAGATAAATAAAAAATGGAACTAATGGTATTATCATTGATGAAAAAGTTAAACGTTGTTGTAATAACTTTCCTTCTTGTTTAATTAGAACAATAAATGATAGAATATAACAAATATGAACAATTAAATATACAGATATACCATAGAGAAACAAATCTTTTCGATCTTTTATAAATAAAATATCACCAATACATGAAAGAGCAAGTGATACTATTAAACAAATTCGTTCAATTAACAAATTTTTCTGTGAATTTAATAAAAATAATATTAATAAAAGAGGCATTAATAATGGTTTAACCGCCCAAATAATCGAAAAGTTTTGAACTATTTCACCATATAACTCTATAGATAGTACAATATAATATAATACAGTTAATACTCCAACGTAAGACATTTTCATTTAAATGATATTGTGTATCAAAATATAACGGCACATTTTTTTTCATTACGTTCTTTTTTCTTCTTTCATTCTTTTGTTTTTCTTCGTTTTTCTTTCTCACAGATAACAACAATGTTTGGATGAGTAAATAAGGTGTCTCTTATTCAACAAGAAATTTTTTTAACCAACAGAAAAAGATGAAAAAATCGTTGTTAATAAAAAATGAGCAAATCCGTCCTCTGGGAAAAGCAACGCTAGTTTTTTTCCCTATTAGTAGCTTCGAAACAAAGTTTTTCGTATTCAGAGTCAGAAATTGCATATGACAAACTATTTCTGAAGTTGAGCACATCTCTTTTAGTATTTCTGGAAAATTCGTTGCTAAAAGTACTGAAAAATGACACCCTCTGCTCAAAAAAGCATCAAATCTTTTTCTTTAAGAGATAAAGCCTTGAATTTTATACCATTCGAACCGCCGTGAAGCATAGGACAAATTTAAGGTCCCATATTTGTGACTTTTTCCTTTCCTGTTGGGTTACTATATTGAGGAGCGGAAAAATCGGAATTCTGCCCGTCTCTCACAATTTTCTTCACCAGAACTCATTCTTTTATGCAGTAAAAGTATCATATTCGGAGTCCGCGTCGAAAATTGAATCGAATGATATATAATTTGAAAGTTTCCGTTAATTTTCATTTTGTGAAAATCTCAGTAATTTTCGGAAAAACAAAAAGTGAACAAAACAAGAAAATTCAAAAAAAACGAAGGTAGTCGAATAGGATAAAAAGATGCATCACACGCTTCAGTTTTCAACGCGAACTCCGAATATGATACTTTTATTGCATAAAAGAATGAGTTCTGGCGAAAAACTTGAGAGGGACGTGCAGAATTTCGATTTTTCCGTTCCTCAATATAATAACTCAACAGGAAAGGAAAAAGTCACAAGTCTGGAACTTTAACTTTGTTCTGTGCTTCACGGCGGTTCGAATGGTATAATATTCAAGGCTTCATGAGAATTTCAGTCTCTTCCACGAGAATTCTGCTTGTGCGAGAACTGAGAACATCCCGAATACATGATTCACGAGAATCTTCGTTTTGCGACCGGCATTTTGACAATTTCTAGAAGAAGTTTGATCTGTGTGCACGAGAATTTTAGTCTCTTCCACGAGAAATCTACTTGTGTAAGACGAACCGAGAATATCCAAAATACATACTTCACCAAAACCTTCGTTTTGCACCGGAATTCTGGGAATTACCACGAGAATTTTTGTCTGTGTAAACGACAATTTTAGTCTCTTCCACGATAGTTCTGCTTTTGAATTACTTGTGTGAGAGGAACTGAGAACATCCAAAATACTTTCTTCACGAGAATCTTGCTTTTCCACTGGAATTTTTGAGAATTACCACGAGAATGTTAGTCTGTGTACACAAGAGTTTTAGTCTATTCTACGAGAATTCCGCTTTTCTGAGGAACATGCGTAATATATATTGGGTGAGAGGAGCTGAGAACCTAAAACCTAGTCTTCATGAGAATTTTGAGAATTACCACGAGAATTTTACTTTTCCACAGTAGTTTTTTGAATTACCACGAGAATTTTACTTTTCCACAGTAGTTTTTTGAATTACCACGAGAAGCTTCGCCTGTATACAGGAGAATTTTAGTCTCTTCCACGAGAATTCTTCTTGTGTAAGAGGAACTGAGAACATCGCTAATATGTTCTTCATGAGAACCTTACTTTTCCACTGAAATTTTGAGAATTAGCACTGGAAGTTTAGTGTGTGTAAACGAGAATTTTAGTGTTTTCCACGAGAATTCTACTTGTGTGAGAAGAACTGAGAACGTGCCTGATAAATTCTTCACGACAATCTTAGTTTTACAATCTGATTTTCAGACTTACCGCGACCACAATTTTAGTCTATTTCACAAGAATTCCACTTGTGTGAGGGGAACTGGGAACATGCTTAATACATTTTTCACGAGGATTTTACTTTTCCACAGGAATTGGGAGAATTACCACGAGAATTTTAGTCTGTGTAGAATGCTCTATCTGAGAATATAGCGGCTTGTCCACGTAACGCGACACTTCGCTGATCAAGTCTATAAAAAAAATATTTTCGCTTTTGAAACTTTTGAATATATCACTAGATGTAATTTTTTAATTCTAAGAACCCGTTTAAAACGCTTTTTTGATAAAAATTGGTTTTTGAGTCTCAAAACCGGTTTTTGAACATTTCCAAAATTGGATTTTCTATTTTTAGCCGAGAAAGTTTTCGAAAAATAAATTTCTAAACATGTGGTTTCGTAGAAAATTTAATTCTCTACAAAATGGCGTATTTGGTTTTGAGCTTCAGTACTTTAAAAATTTGTACATATGTGTACATTTGCCGACTTAATTTACAGTTTTTGACCCTCCAACTCGAGGTAGTGACTATATTCTTGCGTATATCGGCTGACTGTAGCACGAATAATTATATGTATAAATATCAAAATCTTTTGATCATATTAGATCCCTCAAAAACGCTTGACAAAAATGGTGCGTAACACCGTTACGTTTATGTTTTGATATTTTTGCCTTAACTGAAGATGTTGGAAAAATTCTTTTTTTACCATCGGATAGCCCGTTCTGTGCTCTACAATTTCTGTGCTAAAAACGTTTCATTATGACCTTTACCTTTGTCGGAATTCACGTTTTTTGTTGATATTACTCGAAAAAAAGGGTCTTTTTTCGTATAAAAACCGTTCTCAAAATTCGAGACTTCATCCAAAAAATTTCATTTTTATACCGTAAATGGGGGTCGACGAGCTGCATCGAATGGCGTTTAAATGAGCTTTTTAACTATTTTAGTTTCCGAGATAATTTCACTTTAGTGCGTTCAAAACGTAACGCCGTTACGTTTGGACAAGCCGATAGTCACATGTAATAGTCTAACACAGTTTAAATGTGCTTTGCACAGTTATGGATTTAGTGACTAATTGTCACTAAATCCACTGTTCAAACTTAACTTCTAAATTCTACGGAAAGGAAACAGTGTAAAATTACAAGCAATAGTTAATCTAAAGACGTGTTTTTTGTGTAGGATTTTTCTATTTGTTTCTTGTTTATTTTTGCTTTCTCATTATTGGTGGCAGTAGTACTTATAAGCGTTTCTCTTTTTTCTGCTTCCCAGTCGGGCAATGTCTTTTCTTTCTTTTTTGTTATATTCTGTATTTGTCTGACGAAATAAAATTCAAGATCAAGATCAAGTTGCCCGATTCATGGCGGTACGAATGGCATATGAATGAGTGTTCCATCACTTAACACAAAAAACTAGATAGGTTTACAAATTGACTCTCTTTCACTTTTAGCGCTCTAACTTAGATTTCTCGCCTACAATCCCACTTCAGTGTGAAAAGTTATAGTTCAATAGAATTTGAATTGCTGATTCTAAATATAAGATTATTTCAAAAAAAGATTATTTTCAGATGGAGAAAAGGCATTTTAAGTCAGAAGGTACAAAAGTAAGGGCAGTCAATTTGCTAATCAAATAATCATAACTCCGTTCGGATAAAATCGTTTTCTTTGAAATTTTCAGGTTTTATAGCCGACAATATGAAAATTTTTTCTTGAAAATTTGGCCTTGGAAAAAGTTTTCTATGCCGAAATATAATATTTTTACCAAAATCATGTACTTTCAAAAGTCAAGATTTTTTCAACTTTTTTTCAATAATTAATATTCTTGTAATTTTTTATTTATGTACACATCCAGAGTAACTTATGCTGAATCGAACGGTATATAGTGTAGCTGAAACGGCTTTGAAGAAAAACCTAATGCAACGTTTTAGAAAAGAAAATGCCACTTCTTTCTTTTCGTTTCGCGAATCGACTAGGCATGTAATGATAACGATAATTTGATTACGACAAGACAATGTAAAATTTGTCGAAACTTTTTTATTCGATATTATATGGGAGTAAAAAAAGAAACATCGATGAGACACGCTTTTTTTTTGTTGTGTTCAGGTCAAAATTAACAAACTGTCTTTTGGTAAGGTTTAGCGAAAAAATAGGATTTTATACTTTTATTAATGACCAGTGACCACTAACAGCATTTTCTTGAATATCTGTACATTCGGCATAACCAAGATGTTTTTCCAAATTGAGATAGGTATGTTTAAATTTATTTTGGATTCGTTTATATTCTACACCATCATTACCATATATCGATAGAATCGACCAATATGCACTCCAAAATGTATCGGGCAATGTGGATGATTCTACATAATTTAGACCTCGTTCAACGTTCATATATTTTTTTGTTTGAACATTTTTTATTCTTGTATGTTGACCATTCACGGTTTCCAGTTCCCAACGAAATCGATCATCAGTGACTAGTGGTCCATATTTAACCTGACCATTATCATCATACAAATAGGTATTTAAGAAACGATTCTTAATTGTATATTTGACATCAACATTGGTATTGTTATTGTTGCCGGTATCAATAGGCCCAAGTGAATTTAAGATTGTTTCAGCATCGTTGACATTCAATGATGTCAAATGATTGAATGCTTGGTCCAATTTTTGCTGTGTACCACTATTGCCCTTATGTTGTTTACGAAGTTGATAGAGCTGAAAAATAAGTTTTAATTCACGTTCACCATATGAGACACCTAATTGTTCTTGCATGGTTGTTAGTAGAGAATATTGCAATTCTTGTGTGGGTTCAATCATTGTACCTTCACCATAATCATTCCATGTTGCGATTTGTATCATATTTACATTAGATTGTAGGGCTTGTTTTAACATGTAGTCAAACGTTTGTTTTCCATTTAATGGTATTATCCATGTTGGCCCTTAAATTAAAAGTAAAAATAGTGTTCAATTCAATCAGCGACTATCAGTATTTACCATCAGCACTTCCTTGGGCATAGAATGGATGAAAACCTGGATAAACAACACCAAGTGGAATCTGAAATTTGTTTGTTTCTGTATAATATCGGTTAACAACATTTGGATGATCTTGATAAATCCAAGGATATTCACCACTGACATGATTTGCACCAATTTCTTGTGTATTACCATAGAGTGGTAGAAATTTCGGTTTTGGATTTAAGCCATTTAAGATTTTATCCCACTGTGCTGGTTGATGAAATGTAATTGGACCAAAATTCAATACCAGTGGACCACCGTTGACATTCAAATACGTTTGTTTATTAAAATAGTTGTTTTGCATGTAAATAAAATCATTTCGAGCATCTAATTCCATACCAACATCCCAATTTCGATCTTCATGAACAATAGCAAATTTTAAACCAACTGAATCTATTTTTGCTATTAAAGCATTTGAATTAGCTAAATTATCTGGATAATCATATCGTTGTCTTGTTCCTAAACTCAATGAAAACAATATGTGAATGAAATCAACAGTAATAGAAGATAAATATTTTACCTGGCCAATCAATGAACACACCGTCAGCACCGGCATATTTCATTAATAACAATTGATATTCAAGGATATCTTTATCAGCGGATGCATAAGGACCTGTAAGTGGATAATAATGAGCAGCGATCTGACGTTTTCCATTTTGCACAATATCTGGATTCATTGTATTCATTTTCCAGTGATAACCCCATGCACCTCTAGATTCTGGTGTTTCAAACCATGGCATCCAATGTATATATACTTTTTTTGTTGTTTTTGTTTTTGTAACAGTTCCGGTTGCGCGTCGTGTTCTCACGCTAGAAATATCAAAGAAACATTAAGTTTTTGTGAGAAATCTTTACTTCTCTTGTACCTTACACATTATTCGAAACACCATCGATTGCTACTGCTAATGCTAATCCGATTAGAACGAGTAAAAGTTTCATTTCTTAAAGAAACTACAATATAAAGTACAAAAAGAAATGTATGCGTTACAAATGGGGACACCGCGATGTACTTTCTCTTTTATATTAATTCCATTGTAACATGATTCCTATATTTTAATACTCAGTAATTCTATGAAAATTACTTTATTCTCAAACGTGCATTTTGCTATGAGGTCAATAGAGGACTTGCACCAGATAATTTTGTGTCTATGTATCAGGTCCCTAAAGACGAGGAAAAAAATATCTGGTAATTTTAGTCAATTTGATCAACTGGTCGAATGAACACTACTTGTTCTCGATCTCTGGTCATTTTCCTAGGGAATCCTCAAAAAGTCTAAAAAACAGTACTGGATATTTTCTTCCTCGTCGTTTTCGGGCCTGAGATATAAAGTCTTACAAATCACCTGTACTGTTTATTTTTTCCCAACAACCTAACAAACATCACAACTTACGCTTCTTAAGAATTTGACTATACGTGCTAGAATGTTACAAACAAATACATTACTATTAATCAGTCATTCAACATTGCGAACTAATTTTTGAAAAAACACTTACAAAGTGGAATCACACACAAATTATCCTGCAGTTAGAGATGAGATGAACGATTAACGTTATAGCCGAACATGTCTACTATACATACGAAAAAACAACGTTCGGCTATAACGTCGTCTGAAAAGTGACAACGTAAAAGAGACATCTAACAAAGATGTGAAATGTAAGAAAATGTGTTTACAATTTCTTACATTTTACAATCTTTCTCAGCTGACCACAAGAAAACTACTCCGTCCACTTAGGTTAAACTCCGCGGAGTGACGGAGTTAGCGGGGCACGGTGTTTCCCCCTTGATAAATAGCGAGCGATTTACGTAGAGATTTTTGCTTTCATCATACATAAAGTAAAGTAATTAAAAAAAAGATATTAATCTTTTAATTATTTCACCGGATATTTATAACGATGATTAAGTATTTTTATTTTATTAAGTTTAAGCGTGTTGCATGGCTAAAACAGCAGCGGAAAGAGCTAAGGCATATCGAGAGCGGATAATAAAAGATAAAGTCAAACATGAACAAGTTAAGGTAAAAGCTCGTCAACGTAATAATTATATCCTTAGGAATTAACAGGTAAAGCATTAGAAAATTTTCGTGCTAATACTAATTACCGTCAAAGAAAATGTCGTTTAAGGGCCTCCCCCCCCCTCAGAAATGGTGATTTTCGGTCAAAAAATCGGTTTTAAGATACACACATGGAAAGATAGCCTGAAGTGTCTACTTCCAGAATTTGTATTGCTTTTGGTTACAAAACTGGTTTTTCGGGGATTTTGAGCAAGTTTTCCAAGAGCCTCGAAAAAATGGGTCTTTAAATAATGTTTTTTTCCTGGATACTCATGCAATTAAAATTTTTTTGAA